TTGTGTGATCGGCAACAAGAGACCGTGATCGGCGATCACTGATCATACACTTTATCACGGAAATCGGCCGATTATGATCGGTGGCCGATCGGCACACCTCTACTACTAAACTTTTTATCTCTTACAAGAAACACATGAGGTGTTCTGAAAATATTTCCAATTGCAAAACAAGGAAAGCTATTAAATCATGTTACGTATAGCCAATTTAAATTTCTGAGGTAATATGACAGCGTGGTATTTTTATAGACCAACATACTATGAATATCTAATGGTGACGCAGGTTTTATCCCATCCCGTTTATTAAACACATAATCTTGCATGACAAAGAGGCTAGTGCTGGATAAAATAACTGATATTTCCCAAAAAAATACTTAATTATTTTCTTCAGAGCTGAAATTTAAAATGTAATCCAAGAACAGGTATAAAAACAGATGTTTTTATATTCTAAAAGTGAAATTCGATTTATAATTCTTTTTGTAGGATCAGAGACTCTTGATAAGCCTGGATTTCCATACCTCCTTTTTTAAGCTTGAAAAGTGGTGTTCCTCCTTCGACCTTTCCCCCATCTGGGACCAAAAGCTCCTGTATCACTCCTGCAGCAGGAGAGGGGACCTGCACTGATGTCTGAAAGGATGACATATACTCAAAAATTAAAACAAAAACCAAGAACAAAAATCCACTAATAGTCCATAAATAAATGCATATTGATATGATTTTTTGGGGGGATATATTACAGTATCCATCATATTTTAAATAAAGCGTGCAACAGAAAAAAATATTTTTGGTCATTTTGTATTTGACACTCAAACTTTTTTTCCCTGCAATTTATAAATAACAAAAGTGCAGCTTTATATGATTTTCTCTTGTTTTATTTATCACTCTACATGTATTTTAGAGTCCTTAAATTGTTTAATATGTTAAATGGTATGAAACAAATGCTCAAGATTTTGTTTTTATAAAAGTAAAATACAATTCTTTTTGAGGTTTTGCGAGACAAAAATGCTAATAGAAGCCCTGATTTGGTTGCTACCAAATTGATGCAATGATTCTTGAGTGTCAATAAGTTTGCTCAGCAGTTCATTACACCTACGAAACAGAACTTATAAAGTTAAGCACAAATTTGCAGATTTATAACATGACCTGAACAGAAATCGCAAAGAATCAAAAGTAAATTTATTTACTTGAAACTTACCTTATCTGTTTCGATTTCGCACACCACCTCATCCTCAGAGACAGAGTCTCCAACAGCTGTGGAACACATAACTTTGCATTAGCGTCCGATAACCTCTGAAAAGCGAGTAAAATAGTCTTCTCAGAGGTGTTACCTTTCTCCCACCTTACATCCCCCTCTGTGACAGATTCTGCAAATGCAGGAGTCTTGACTGTGATAACTTCATCTCCTAAGGAGTAAAGTCAAAAGGAAAAGGATTATCTTCAGACATCAACCATTGCATTTTATGTTCAGATAAGTTTAAAACTGGTGGACAAACAGATTGCATACTGTAAGCTGCAGAAGTCCTGAAGTACTGGATTTGGAAGACACTGGAACGGGGATTATATGGTCTGATGAGAAAGAAAAATAAGAATGAGTGTAGGCACAACTCTACAGTTCTCATTTAAATAGAATATCATTAATCTTTAAATTAGTTTATAAATTGAGAGTCACTACTGAATGATTATTTGTCAGTCTGACATAAAAATAGATTTAGGACAGCATGGTTCGCAGCCAAATATTACTCAATGAAATATGGCCCCCTCCAAGGCATATCTGCCATATCAAACATGTTCATGACTTTGACAGTACATCCCTATTATAGAGAGAGTATGTACTTACACATTGTTGTTTACAGATATAGGATGGCAAGCTGATAGAACTGAAAATAAATAGAAAAGCCATGTAAACAACATCTTGCATGTATGTGGTCAGCCTATGGTACAAGCAATAACAAAGCATACCTGCAGTGGCCCGACGAGCTAACACATTGTTTCCCTGCAAAAAACATACAATCTAGTCAAAATACCTGAAACTTGTACATGTGATCAATACTATGTCTGCATGCCACAGCTTTAAAAACATATACAAATGTGCAAAACTGATTGCATTCAGAAATCTTCCTCAGAAGACTGGGGACTACAGTGCAAGACAGGATATTAGTGAGGTGCTGCGGGTCAAAAGTCACTTTTGCAGGTTAACTTTGACCTTTGACACAATCGATATTATTACTATGTAATAGGTTTTTCTAAGTTGTTTCATATTAAATGTAAGTTTAATATGGAGACCTTATCAATAAGTGCAAAAGAAAGTTTAAGTTCGAACAACTGCACGGAATCCTAAGTGTGAAACTATAAACACACCGGCAATAAGCCTGAACTGAAACCGACGAGTTTACAATGTCGCCGGTCACACTTACACATTAGTTGGAAAATTGCCCAAATACTCAAAAAATTTGCGTTCATTCACAATATGACCTCAGCCTAATGACAGCTAAGTGCATTAGCCAACAATAGAGTACTTTTTAGCTTTGGATAGCTAGCATGTTCCACAAGGATGCGAGAATATAACAAAACTACCTCATATGAACATTAAATATCCAAGTCAAACATCTCCAGTGTTGATATCCACATATCAATGAGGTTTGCAGTATTGGTTTGTGCTGACAAGTGTCACCCTGTCCTTGGCTCGCAATGTTCCGGCCTAGCCGTGGCCTAAAGCGGGGGAAGCTAATGCTAATGCTAGCACGGATAGAGCTGAGCGTACAGAAGCTGCGGTTTTTCCGCAGCCACAAGCAAGTAGAGCTAAGCAGCGACCAAAGTTGGTAAATTTTGTACCTACCTGGCGGATGGCAGAGAGGGAGCGGCCGAAATTCCTGGTGAGACACCGGGAATGGGATAACATGGTAGCTGTGTGACAGCAGGCTGTCAGCGGAAGAGGAACTCCGGTCACACCGATAAGACAGACTGGGCGCGGGCAAGAGTCGAGGAAGCTGCATGGGATAAACCAAGTTCTCAGGCGGAAGGGGGACAGGGCGTAAAGCTGTCCATTTCCAAACTAAATTATGTTTAATACCTATAAATAATAATCAGCTAGTAATCTGTAAAATATTATTAGCTGATTGAAAAATAAATAAATAATGATTAGCCTATTGTTAAGTAACATTATAAAATTGTACATGTCACTGCTTCATTGCGTTTCACAAGTATTGAATTTAAATTGAAACGGAAAATACTTTTTTATTTATGTCCCCAAGAATTATTAAATGTTGTCATGACGCATATCATCCAAGTAGCTTCAAAGAGTTGTTGATGGTGATTCAGTGGGCAATATCTGCAGTAGCAGTCAGTCTGACAACAAGAGGCCTCTGACTGAAGACTTGGTGACATGACATGCTAACAGCTCCATATCAGACAATAGCAGAAACAGTATTCCACAGTAACATGTTCTTAATACAATCAGCTATAGACAATCACTCCTAGACACCTCATTTGGTTTTGCCATCCCTTTGGCTGTATGATTGCCCGGCAGGGAGAGGCTGGAGTAGAAGAGATGATCTTTGCTCGCTATGAACAACAGAAGAGTCTCTTCAGTCCTGCTGGGCATCCATGAAGCCTCCTTCATGGATGCCTTCAATGTGTCCTATTTCAGGCATTATTTGAGCTTTTGAGGTGCTAATTGGGTAATCACAGTTACAATATCTTGTTGCCAAGCTTAAGCATTATTACAACTGTCTTGTTGCCAAGCTTAAGCATTATTACAACTGTCTTGTTGCCAAGCTTAAGCATTATTACAACTGTCCAAAAGTAAAAGAGTAATGCAAAAATCCTTCTAGTTGCATGACAGAGCTACTTCTAGCTACTCCAGAGACAAAAATTATGAACAGAAGTCTACAAAAACAACAAATTAGAACTAAAGTAGTGGAGTATGTTACCACCATGAGTGGTACAATTAATTGTGTTACCTCCCGTTTAGCTTTTTTTTTTCTCTCTCTCAAATTTGCAACATACTGCTACAGACTTTAAAAAATAGATTTTATGGATTAGATTAACATAAAGCACTGCTTAATTGTGAATGATTACACATAAGTCTTTTCAGGCTATATCTTATAGCTTTACACATATAGAGTATGAATTTAATAAAAACAAGAAAAGTTGTTGCTCAGATTCAGAGCATCTGTGAACATACATTTTTCAGACTTGCCACAAATTATGAATTGGATTATATTGACTCTTACTGACTCTTACTCTTTTTTAAGTGCAAAGTATATTAAAGTCCAGAGTGTAAAGATGATTTTTCACAGTACAGTTGACTTAAACAGCAAAATACTTTTTTAAAACTGTTTGGTTTGATGAATTGATTGTGAAATTATTTTATGCTAAAAGAAAAGAGAAAGCGGCATGTTTCATTTAGAATACCTGCTTTTCTAATTCATCTTTCCTGTCTAACAGTGAATACACAACTTCAATATTGTTTACATTTATTTTTCAAGTATTGTTTTCTTTACTTACATATTTAAAAAATAATAATAATACAAAGTGACCTATATTGTATTTTACAGCCATGACTCTATTTGAGTCTCTTTCAAATGACTTTTAAATATTAACGGAGGATATTTAATAAGTTTGTGCACATCGACTCATTTATTTGAAGTTTGTCATCAGATCTCAGTCCGTCATCATTTCTAAAACAACCCCTGTCATATATCTCAGGTGCAGGAGTATCTTGATGCGACCCTCAGACCACCTCCCTGTGTCTGCATGGCCACGCCCCGGCTTTGATGCATCGACTCCGCCGCACTCCCCGCAGCCAACTCGCAGTCTGCGCAGGCCGTCAGCTCGGCAGCACGTCCCAGCGCAACAGGTAAGGTCCCATCAGCGCCGCTGTGAACCAACCCCGGTTAGGCTGTACACACGAATAAGTATGGTAAAGTGAATGCATGCAACTCTCTTCGCTTCTTGTAATTCCGTGCTTTTTAATACTATCGTTGTTATATGTTATTTGTACTGAAAATGTTGCCACTAGTTTATAAGATGCTTAATTCATTGATGTGCTTACTTTTTTTTAACTTATGAATTTAGTTTTGCTGTCCATTTGAAATCACTTTTTTTTTATCAGTCATTTGAATTTTCTTGACAGATTTTTGCGTATTTTTCATTGAAACGTTTCAAATTTTCTGCAGCTGAACTTGAATTAAAATCTTTGTACACATTAGTATTTTTAGTCGTCTGATGTCAACAAATAACAATACTTTTACTACACCTAATCTTCAATTAAAATTAATTCCAATATTGTATTATATTATAATCATTTTCCTGTTGCTTCTGCTCCTACAAGTAATAATAATATTAATATTAATAATAGGAATAATAACAGTAACACCTATCTCTAAAACTTGATTAAATCACATTTTGTTCACTGCTGTTAGCAAGACAGGCTGATTTTCTTACATTAGTCTAAATAAAAGGAGATATCTTAATTTATAGTTCAATATTGCTATTTTTGGGGGGCAATCAATAAAATAAATAGCATCTTTCAGTTGAATCCACTAAAAATAAGATACAATGTAATTTATTATAAGTTCCGACATTGATGTTTCAAAATAATTTAGAATTTTTTTCCCCTATTACCATTAAAAAAGTTTCCATATTTATTTGTTATATGAACATAGAGCTTTTTATCACAACTTTCTTTAAAAAAACCCCAATCAATCTGGATTTCCCTTTAATAAACGAATAAGTAAATTCATTTATATCTCATGATTTAGATACTTCTTGCTGCTGTGTTGAATGTGTGGTCTTCGGCTCTCGTGAGAGCCTTTCTTTGCTTCTTTCTGTAAACCACTATAACAAACTGAGAATGAAAAATTTCTAACATTCCTTCATTTAAGGTATTTAGTAATTTCTTACTTTTCTTTGCTAAATTGAAGAAATGTAAAATGTTTTACACACTCTTTCAGATTGCATGTTGCACAAAGATGAATGAGCCTGCCGTACAAAAATACAATGCATGTAGATAATTTTATATTTAAAGGCTGTGGAGAGTTTTTGAATTACAAAGTGGGGTAAGGGAATATAAAAATGACAAAGGTGTGAAAGACGATAAAAATGTATGTATATGATGTGAAAAATGTTTTTGTTAATGCAACCCATTTTTCAATTATTTTTATCTTAAAATTGGTGTCTTGTCCATTCAAATTCTGACATTTGCAGTGTGACGATCGGCAGCGGACATGAACCTCAGTCTTCCTGACCAGACCATGCACAGCTCCAGTGAAAGCTGCCTAGAGGACGACAAACCTGAGGTAATTTTGCCCTGCTTCCGTAGAAACATGCACGAAGATCCGCTGGCCGCCTACTCAAACGGATCCATCATCTCTCAGCTCCTCAGGAAGACGATTCATAACAAAAGGGCAATAGATGACAACCATTTTTACCTCTCTAATTCTGTGGCTGCTGCTGACTCTGGCCAAGAGGACGAGAGCAGTGTCTCCTCGAAGGACAGCACAGTCGAGGCCGTTTCCCCGAGTGATCATGTCTCCACAGGAGTCAGCCCAGAAGGAGATCACCCTTTGCCTGATCACCTGAAAGCCAAGAGAGCTAGAGTGGAGAACATTATTAGAGTCATGGCTGGCTCTCCCAACAGCAGGCAGCATTGTGATGGGGAGCGGTGCGACACAGACGCCCGAGAAATGAGGGAGGCCAGAGAATCGTGCAGGGAGAACAAACGTAAGCAAAGGTTGCCTCAGCATCAGGAGCACAGTACCATGGGATGGCAGATGAACAGAAAGCCTGGAAGCAGCTGCAATGATAACTGCAACACCAAGGAAGAGGAATGCCACAAGCTGAAAGAGCAGCTGCACAGCATGCAAAGGCTTCTGCGTCAACTCCAGGAAAAGTTTCTGCAAGTCTACAGCCAAGAAGATGCAGAATTTGTTGTGAGAGAAGCCGCAGGAGCTGTTTCTGAGCATGACATCATAGGAAATAGCACAGACGCATGCTACATAAGCCCCGAAGAGCATTTGGAGACAAACAACAGTACATCAACGGCAAACTGTAATGACAGAATCAAAGCAGATAGTTACCTGATGCACCAGAGAGAAAGTCAGAACCTTCAGGAAACCTTGAAGCAGGAGCTCTCCAAAGCAGTTAATGATTGCATCGACAGGGTTTTCAAGAAGGTGTCCTCCTCCACAGACATGGACATATCCCCCCAGCAGCGTGTGTGCTCTACACCAGAGATGCAGATCAGCCTGGGTGCAGACAGGAAGAGCTTGGCCCCTGATCACTCACAAGCCGAAGAGATGTCAAAATCCAGATCGTCAGAGCTCTGCGAGAGCTCGGAGGCTCAAACCTCACAGGACCAGACAGAAGCACTTTCACTAGTTGTCCGTAAGCCCCCAGTGACCCAAGTGAGCGCCGTCACTCCAACGGTGAAAAGGCCGTACGCCGTTCATCAAACGCCTTTCCAGTTCGGCTACACCCCCCCTCTCCACGAGAGCCACATCCTGGAGCACCTCCTCAAGTACGGGCCCCACTCCAACTTTGGCGCACTCCCCTGCATGCCCCCTTCAATGGACAGGACCTCCCCGGACTCGGTGGACCTGTCCTGGGACGCGGTCGCCATGAGATCCAAGGTGACATCCAGTCACTTCGGCCACCACCATCGCCCCTCCTCCATGGGAGCGGTGGGAGTTGATGGTCTTTGTCTGCCCCATGTCAAGATGGAGAGCGGCGAACTGCAGAGCCTGGCTGAACGAAACCCCTACATGTCTCTCAATATATCCTTTGTTTCCAGAAGATTGAGCTAGAGCAGCTTTAAGTTTCTTAATTTACAGTGCCTTGCAAAAGTATTCACACCCGTTGAACCTTTTTACATTTCCTCACACAACCACAATTTTCAAAAATATTGAACGGGACTTTTTGTAACATACACTTTAAAAATCACTGTCTAAAATGAAAGTAAAAGATAGA